TTTTTTTTCCTTTTTGGTGGCTTGCATCCTTAGGTAGGGAGGATGGTACGAACAAAATCCTAACAGACTAATCAGGATAATGGACAACCTATAAACCCATCGAACCAACCACCAAATCAACCTCTTTTTAATCAAGATACTTTGCTACAATAGTTAAGGGATTTTGTGGCAATGATAATAAAAGAGAGAGTAAGGAAGTTAGAGAAAGATCTAAGAGGTAAAAGAGTTGTCGAAGAACCTGAAGAAAATGAGTTCATAGAATAAACAGTGGGTAATTCTAGAACCTGCAAAGGTTCTGTAACATCTCAGATTTTTGGCCTAGTAATGCAAGGAATAGCTTAAAATGGATAAGCTACTAAGTCCTTATTAGCCAAAGTTCTGAAAACGTAAAAGGAAGGTTAAAAGGCTTTTAGGGACTAAACTGTAAATTCAGAAAGTTTTAGGGACTAAAATGTAAATAAAATTAGAGACTTTAGTATTCTAGATTTGTAAAAATTATTCTCTTATGCCAATCCTACATAATTTTGCCCAAAAAAATCCAAAAATGAGCTTAGATTAATGAAAATCGAATTCCTTCTCCAAAAATCAGTTTGGTCGAAAAGGGGGGTTTATAACTCTAAAAATCCTAACTTTAATTCCAATGCTTCCAATGTTTGCTCTTTAAGTTTACCCTACACTATTTTTCATTTTAAACCCATTGGAAGCATTAGAATTATCAAAATCACATCCTAGGATACCAAACTTGAACTAGCCGAACACTACCCTTCCTTAAACAATCATAAATTCTTTCACATATCAACACAAGACTACTTGAAACAACCTTGAGCCATTGTGTTTTATTAGATATAACATCAAAATCATCCTCCTCTAGCTCTTATTAATTTCAGCCAGCACCTCCCCTAAGGGGATTCCACATTTTTCAACTATCAAACTCAAAAATACAAAGCAATATACAAGGTAGAATATGAAACTAATCTTATATCCAAGCTTAGGTAGATGGTTTCCTCTTGATTATGCTTTAAGAATCAATTTTGCAAGAGTTTTCCCTCTTCTTCTCTATCTTGGCCGAAATGAAGGGAGAGGGAGTATCTATTTATAGCCAAAACGTTAGCTTAAATGGACTAAAATGCCCTTAGTAACTAATAAAAAGGCGGATAATAGATTAGCAATGACCTACTGTTACCACCAACAAGCTTAAGAAAGTTCTGATGCGAAGCACATGCTACTGACTAACCACTCTTTTCACGTACTTTTTAGAAGCTTATAATTTTTTCATTTATTTTATAATTCTGATTTTTTAACTTTTTATGATTATGATTTTAAAATTAAAAGATTTTGAATTATAGTAACAAAAATTTCTAAAAAAATATAATAAAAATAATTAATTCTTCTAATAAAATTGTATTAATTTTTATATAATTATTAATTTAAATTTAAAACATTAATATTAATATTAATATTTTTATTTTAATATTATTTTATTTTAAAAAATAATTATTGAAATTCATTTTATTAATTTGAATTTAGAATGTCTACAATTTCAAAATCTCAAATTTATCTAACCTCTTATAAGAAATAATTATTACTTTTTCATCAAGAAAACAGTTGATTGTGTAAATGATTAAAAAAGATATTTGAAAAAATCAATGTGTATTTTTTTTGTGAATGTCGATGTACATTTTTTATAAATAGTTAACTTAATTAGTTTTCTTAATTTATATATATTAGTTATTTAACTCCTACATTTAGTGTTAGAGTAAATACAAGAAAATAATAAATTAATTACACCCTTAATAAAGTATAAATATCTTTGATTTTCCTTGTATATGTAGCCTAAAAAACATTCAGGTAATACTTTAAAAAAGTTATTTCAATTACTCAATCTTAACCGTTCACAAAATATAATTGAGATATGTTGTAAGGAAATTTTAGTAGTCTAATGGAACCCCTAAAGTGCATTGTTTTATGAATATAATTGTTTATTGTATTTATAATTTTGATAATTTATTGTTTTGATGGTATATTATTGTTTTCTTAACCTAAAACCTAATTTTCTCATAAGGTTTATTTTAGAAATAGTTATTTCAGTTATTCAATCACAGCCATCCATAAAATATAATTGACATTTGCTTATCATATTTGGAGGCGAGCCATCCGTTGTAGAGGAAATTGGGTGGTTGAATGAAACTCCTAAAACACTATTCCATCCTACCCGTTCAATAATTATAACAAATATTTCTATATCATATCTCGAGGTGATTTGTCCGTTTTAAGGCAATTTGAATGGTTTAAGGAAGCTCTCGGCGCCCACCGTCTTACTAGAAGATGGTTTTGATAATATATTGTTTTGATGGCATCTTGTTTTCTCGACTTGATATTTGATTTTTTTACCTACAAAATGCCCCTAGCTTATATACATTAAGACATCAACTTATGTAAATGTATCTTCGTCTTATTTTATCCGTTCCAGTTTTTGTGAAGAAATCAACCATGAAATTTGTTGCGGATGAAGAAGAACAAGATGACAACACTACTAACACAAAGCTTTGCTATTAGAAAGAAATCAAATCAACAAAAAATACCAAAAAGGTATTAAATTTTCTTGCTTTTTTGTTATCAATGGTTTGGTATGATTCATATTTCTTTCAATTCAAAATATTTGATTCCCTATTATTTCTACCATTTTGTAAATTTGAAGCTAGCGATTTTTAGATCTTCTTTCATGAAGGTTGCTCCTTGCTTGATGAGTTCATAGTGGTTTTCAATGGCAGTGGGTGATGGTTTTGGCTACAAGTTATATATTCATTTGTTATATAACATACGAGTATGCTTATTTTCTTAAAAGAAATGCAACATAATATGTTGTATGTTTATTTGTTTTTCTCTATTTATAATTTCAGACGAAAATATGTGATGAAAATAAGTTTTTTTGTGATAGTGAGAATATATAAAAGTTTTTTTTTTTGCAGTGTTAATACATATTATAATTCAAAAATTGTGTTAGGCTTTCATGGTGGTACCAAACAAATGTTAGGAGCCCATTGCCACTTCTACTTGTACTCTCATTTTCATTTCCACAGAAAACTCTTCCAATGTATCAAAAATACCCTAAAACATTTTACTGAATGTGAAAACACTTTGCAGGCTGGCTGGCCAAATGCTCTCGCAGCCTTGACGAAATAGTTGCTTAAGCCAGATTTGCAATATTATTGTTTGGCATATATCTCAATCCCAACCTACTATTCCAATGTTGAGTCCTAATATATAAAATATTACATCCGGTCTTTAATAAGAACTCATTTGATTTTTATTTTAATTCTAAATATAAGATCCCAATTCGTTTTATTTCTTGTATTTATTCATTTATTTCGAAGGTCGTTCTTGTAATATGATAATTATAACTAATACACTTGATTAATAAGGATACTTTAGGGAAAAAAACACCTATTTATTATAAATGACCACTTAACTAATTTTTTTAATCTACTCAAATTATTCAACTAGATCTTATGTTAAAGACCGGAGATAGCATAAGAGTTATTTTGACATTCAATTTGGTCCTAAATATAACACCCTAATTTGCGTCGTTTTTTATATTTATTATTTTTTTCCAAAATATTTCTTATAATAGTTGCATATATTAAATATTCTATCAAATAGTAATTCTAATTAATACACATAATTAACAAGAGTATTCTAGAAAAGATAACACCTAGTTATTACAAATAACTTATAAAATTTTTAATTTATTCAAATTAGTCAACTAACTCTTATATTAAACACCAGAAGAGCCACTATGATCTTCAATTTGTCTATTCTAAATTGCCTTTGTCTCATCGTCCTCTTTCTAGTATATTGTGTATCCTTCAAGAGCTCATTAATTGTCACTTTACTAATCGTTGTTCATCGTCAGTGTCGCCAACAGTTCAACGGGAATGCTCGGACTGTTCCACCCTAGCCGCAGGTGACTGTTGGCCGCGATTGGAGTGGTCAAGGCCGATTCTTCTCTGACCAAACCAGAGAGGGCCAGGAAAGGTTAGCAGCCAGCTCATGGGCAGAAAATTCGGGGAGAAGGAAGAAGAGGGCACGGTAACGCTGTCTTTCCATATTTTGAAATCGATCTATTGATATGTCTGTAAAAATTTTAATGTTAAATATAAAGACCCAATTATTTTGTCTTTTTGCATTTATGTATATTTTTTCCAAGATAGTTCTTGTAATTATAATAGTTCTAACTAATACACTTGATTAGCAAGAATATTTTAAGAAAGATAATACCTATTTATTACAAATAACTAATTTAACTAGTTTTTTTAATCTGTTTAAATTAATCAACTTGCTCTTATATTAAAGACCAAAGATAGTATTATTTAATAAACTCTATCAATCATTTTATATATAAACTTACTTTTCAATTAGTCATCTAAACAAGTTTTAATTTGTCAAATTAACTTTTATAAAAATAAATCCAAACATAAAAGTACACCACACTAATATACATTTGCAAAAATCAAATAAAATAAAAATTATTTTTTCCACCGCTAATCCAAATACACCCAAATATAATGATGTAATCCTGAAGTGGCATCAGAATTGACAACCAATAATTATATGAGAACTCAATAATAAATTAAAATATTCATAACTTGTAAATAGTGTGATTTCTTTCTATTTTTATAGATATATTGTCGATTATCATTCCTTTGATGTACACATACACATATAGATATGTATGTCTGCATGTATATTAGTTGAATGGGATAAAGGTGGTGGCTTTTCACATATAGATACTAAATTCAGCAAATTGGTAACGAATTGGCATCCAGCAGCTATGATCCCAATGAACAGATCGATAATGGCTGGATTGAGAACAGAAACCAGACCAGAAACGTAATTATAAAAATAGAGATGAAGGATGTGTAATGCAGAGAGTATTCAAAGGAGGCTGAAAATAAAATGGATGTCTCAACAATTGTTTTCAAATCAGAGAAGCCCATCTCTTTACTCATAAAAAGAAGTGTAAGAAATTTTATTATCAATGAAATGTCAGTGAAACAGTAAACAAACAAACAACAATTTATCTATACAACAGGGTCCATGATCAAGCTTCAAAATTCAAGGAGATCATGGACAAACTCTACATGATTCAGATTTTTTTTTTTTTTAAACCAGCACTACATGATTCAGATTTACTGTAATCTATAGAAAAGAATTATTAAAATTGTTAAAACATAAGCAAATATATGGGTGGGTTAATTGTAATCATCAATTACAGTGCGTCTATGTTATCTGCTCAACTAAAATAATTAGTAACCACTATGCCTCTTGAAATACATAAATCATTATGTTGATCACTGCAATCTACTGATGTTTACCATAAATTTTGTTATATACTCTCAGAACCATCACAACTTGTCCCACCAATGAACAAGCTTTGACCTGTTAATATAGATTTTGTGCTGAGACTCGGATTACTGATGCTTTCTATATGGGGTGAGGAAAGGCCCCTGTCCTTAGAAGAGCCACTGTCTGTTTTGCAGCTTGAAGGAGATTGTTTCAAAAGGCTGTAAGGGGAAAAAATAGTTTAATTAGATCCAAAAATCTTGTAACATAATCCCAAGACAATTCATGATGCTTCATCCCATTTGCCAAAATCGATTACTAACTCAGAACTATAGTTATCTCATAAGTCGCCAAACACTCCTGTGCACATCAAAATCAATTATGAAATTAAAAAGTTGATAACAGTAACTTGTAAGATAACCATGGTTTTGGATTCATAATTGATTTTGGCAAGTATAAAGGCGTTTGGTAACTTATGAAATGATTGATTTTGGCATGTATGGGGTGCCTGCTCATAATTGATTTTGGCATCTATAAGAGTGTTTAGCTATTTTTCAGGAAAACTATGGTTTTGACTCTTATAATACAATATCCATATTTTTTCGGTGATAAAAGTAGCAATGCAGTACCTTGCAAAGTCAGATCCAAATCCTCTGAAGTTTCATACAAGTTAGAGCATAATTTTCTCACCATCTCAACCCTTCACTGATATGGCATGGCTTTGGTTCAACTTTGGCAGTGGAGGGTTTAGATGGAAGCGTATTTACATTTTGTTTCTTATGAAACTTTGAGGATCCCAATCTCACCAGCTAAAACTGCCACATCTTACCAGAATTAACGTACTTAGCACCTTAAGCATCTAATATCAAATTGAATCAAACTTTTCTCTACAAGTATTTTCTGAATTACTCACCTAAACTCAAGTAGTTTTACTTTCAGCATAGCCAACTAACTGACTTTAATATAGGATGCACGTATTGTATTTTCAGTAGGCAAATAAACTGAAAGGATAATGTAACCAAAGAAAAATTAAAATAAGTTAGAACAGTAATTACCCCTCATTAAATATGAGTTTTGCAAGACTTCATGTTCTGCCATTTTTACTAAAAAAACAGCCAATGCTTCTTTTTGGGGACAACAGAAGGAACATCTGCAAAATCAATGTATGATTAGGAGAAAAGAGCTTCTTTCCATGGAATATATCAAGCCAAATTCGTAAAACCAATTCCCAAAAAAGGAGGAAAAAATCACTAATGTTAGGGTTACTACCTGCAGTTGCGTACAACGAATTATAATGCACTTCACTCCAAAAGCTTAGCCAAAGCTCTACAGTTTCCAGAGGAAAAAAAATGAAAATCACGAATAACCTCAATAAAGGAATCCAAACACATATATAACACTGAATTAGGGGCTGGCATTACTTGCTAATAAGGAAACTCTTAAACATTGCACTAAACATTGAGAAAGAAAGGAAATGCAAATCTCAGGCTCTTCAAAGATGTAACTATTCAACACAGCCTTTCCCTCTATCCATATCCAATCAATTAAATCACGACTGTAATGATAACAATCATTCAAACATTTTAACATCACTACCGTAAACAAACTTGTTGAAAGTGAAGATAACATTCCCAAACCAAATTACTTGATAAAAATGTGTGTGGCAGAGTTTACGATAGAGATACCTAAGTTGTTAAACCCAAAAAAAAAAGGAAAAAAAAAAAAAAAAAAATACTTGCCTTTAGTGGGGTTTTTGTCAGTGGGACGTATCTCAATATAGCAAGTGTCTTTAAAAGAGGTGACTAAACAAATTTTGGCGCCAAACTGTACAAAGAGACACAAGTAATTAGAAGTCACTTGCAAGAATATGAAAAAATAAAAAATAAAAGGGACAGACAACATGACTTAAGACAACAACGATGTCAGCAATTGATGAAATTGAATAAGAGCAGACAGACCATTACTAATATGTAGTCACGATGATTGTGTTTTATAGATTGATTAAGTCATAAATTGATAGTCTACGAGATACTTACTCTACTGTTGTAGAGTGAGTATTATCAATTGTATTTATTGATAAAAAAGGAAGCAAAAGGTCTCCACTTTTGCAACAAATGCAAACTCCCAATCCTATCAGTTCATATAGAAGGGAACATCGTAGGAATCAGCCGATGTTGACTGAAGTTCGTAGTAAAGTGTAAGAATTACAAGCGGTGAAGAGGGCTTGAAATTTCTTTCCATTTTCACGTAATCTTAATAGTATGGGTCATAACTACCATCTATCTCTCATTCAGCTGGTTACTTTGTGTAAGATAAAGCAATCTTAGGGTCCCAGAGATTTATGCAACTGCTGAGCTCCTTTCAGAATCAGAATTATTACTTCAACACAGAAAGGCAAAAGGATCACTTAACTACCAAGTCAGCATCAGTCAACACGATTTACCTCGCTGCTAAGAAGTGAAGAATAATTTAATATGCACAGAGGGAATTTTTGTTACAGAATAGGTTTGTCACACCTGCAAACCCATCAAGGGTCGTGCATAGCATGGCTGATGTGAGAAGCAGGGGGGAGAACAAGTCAGAAACAAGCCTGATACTAATGTGTAATGTCCAACTCAGGTATCAACAGCCACACAATAAAGAAGTGATTTAGCCCCTCCTACTTCCTCATAGAAGTATTATTTCTGAATGCAATCAATATGCACACAGATTCACATATACATGATTTTTTCTTCTTGATTTCAGTATTACAATGAGCAGCTATGTGATAACATTTATTAACCAGAATGACAAGTTTGCTCAAGAGAAGATTAACATTAGACAACTTACTCTATCTGCAGCCGCTTGTAGAGTTACATGGTCTCCCCACTCCCCTGATCTATAGGCAAACAACGTTCAAATATCAAATTAGCACTCACCCTCAGTATTACATGGTCTCTAATGTAGCAGGAAGAAAACAAAAATTGATCACAACTGATTTCTAACTTTTTCATCATCTTCAGGTAGCTTTTGTACTTCATTGGTACATAACCTTCATATAACTTTCTGTAATGCTTTAGCTGAAGAAACAAGAGATAGAAAAATTAACAAGGAGAATATCAATGTGGAATTAGACAGAAGGAAACATCTATCCACACAGAAACAAATTTCAGTTAAGACCATCCATACTGCTGACACAAACAAAGATAACCAAGGGAAGAGCACCATAGAAGGAAAAGGAAAGCAGCATCAAACTTTAAGATGTACTCCCTCCAGTTCTTTTTATGAGGACCTATTAGCTACTTTACGTAGATTATGAAATTCAGTTAAAGTTGGTTAAATAATTTCGATCAAAATTTACTAATTAAAGAAGCTTGTTTGGTTAGTTAGGAGTTTGTTAAGGAACATCAAAGCAAAGGACATTTGGAGAAAAAAATTAATGTTTCAGATAAAGGACATTATATTAAGAAGCATGAGGAAGGCCTTATAATAAAAGACCGAACAGAGCAACATATTTCCAAAGCACTAGCCGTCTCTCGTTATATTTGCTTTTCTTTCTCTCTTTACCCTCACGGTCCATTGGACTGACCACCATGATACGATCAGCAAAATATTTACAAGAAGAAATGAAGATATGCAGCTATCAGAACAGAACCTTTTAGAAGGAAACTATCTACTAAAGCCTATTATCTAATTCATATATTATCATGTTTGACTCGACAAAGATTCAAATAACCACCAAAGCGAATGCACAGAAGAGTATGCCCCAATAAAACAATACAGCTATGCCATACCTGCTTAATAACCTGCCTCCTTACATGCTTGTGATACTCAGGATTGCGAAATAATTGATCTGCTAATGCTCGAACTGCTCAGTAATATTTCACAGAATGTATTTAATATGATCAGCAAAATAATTGATCAAAGCACACACACAAGGGACAAATGAAAACCAATGTATTAAAAAGTTCGAAGAAGTTCAAAACC